CCTCTGACATCCTACCTGAGGCCCATTGCTCACTGCCTGCCAGAAGGTCAGGATTAAAAATGACCATTTCCAACAGGAGGATGCTTTCCAGCAGCTGCAGAAACTTGCTGTGCTGGCAGAGGACCAGAGTGAAGATTCAGCCTGGATTGTTGACCAACAGCTGCAAATCTCTGCAGAAAGAGGTGGTGGTTTTGTACCTTTTTGTAAGTTCTCCAGGACATAACCTACAGGGTGGTCAGTCACAGATATCAGGGCCTTTGACTTGGCTGAAAGAGGAACTGCCTAAAAGCCTCAGTTTTTGTTATTTCTGCTGGAAAATATGGAGGAACCACAGGAGAATGAGTCTAAGAATGGTGACATTGGGTCCTGGCCACAGCAAGCATCCAGGGAAGAGTATAGGAACAGAGCAAACACATATGAAACCTTCCTCCCCCTCATACTGTCCCCACAACCTCCTGCCACCTCTTCAGGCAGTGACAGGACTGCCCAGAAAAGACAAAGCAGAGGTTGTTTCACCAGCTGATTTGGTACTTTGGCTGGCTCCACATTTCTGTTACGTCCAAAGGACACAGTCCTGTTTGTCACATCCCTGCAGGCGAAGCCCTAGGTTTGACCCTAGTTGTTTTCAACACAAAAGCCATCCATCCCCAGAAGGGTTTTAAGTCCTTCGCAATTACTGATTCTTTTAGTGCAATTACCAACACGACAAGCCAAGACTCAGCTCGAGCTCGGTTCCTGGGAACAATGGGTCTTTACTGAAAATATCCCAAATAGCAGCCAAGTGCTGGCACCCTCCATCGCTTGCTTCAGCTTTTAATGCATCCATAGCCACATCTCACAGCACGGAACAAGCACCTTTCACGACAGATACTGCTCCATACTCCCAGAGCAACTCTTTAAATGACTAAATCTCACAAACCTCTGGTGAGTCAAGGACAAGAGCAAGACAGAACACAAACTGCTTTCCCAAGGACCAGCCCGGGTCCCCAAAACTTTGTCCACTCTCCCATTTATACTTGAGCCACCGAAACGTAAAAACAGTATAGGGCGTTCCAGGAAATGGGATGAGATCTGGCAGTGATGGATAAAGCACGGAGTGGGAAGACAGTCCTGGAGAAGAAGAGATAAAAGATAGTCCAAAACAGTCAAAGAAACTTCACTGAAAAAGAGAAGTGGAATAATAAATGGCATCAGAGACCAAATGGGACTGAATATGCCAGCCAAAGGCTTGCAGACTCTTCTCTTCCATATTCCCTTATCTTTCTCCCAAAAAAGCAGTCGCTGTACTGGAGGGTAGGACATGAGCTGCTTGTATCCTGCTCTTCCAAGGAGAGAATTTGTACCTTACAATAAAAAAAATAATTAAAAAAAAAAAAACCAAAAAGAAAAATAATGTTTTCTAGATGGAATTTATTTCCTCTTGAAAGAAAAACCGACTGACTAAAGGTTTCCAGTTTTCCAGTTTACAGTCACATTGGGAGAACATAAACATAAGTCCAGGTCAAGAGACACTGGAGTTCAGTACCACACCAGCACCAAATTCGTGGAGTGCCTGGATGGGAGCAGAGCAGGTCCCACCAGCTGCTCCTGCCCCGCTGCTGAGCACCTTCTCAGCTCAGAGCCTCCTGGAGGCAGGCTGCAGGGGGACCTGAAATGGGAAGCTCCCGGTGTAACACGTTGCGCTGCAGGTCAAGGACAGCATCTAAAATGCACATCCTTCAACAGCCCTTTCATTTTTCTCTCAGTGGCCTCACCTGAAGACCTTGACCACTTGAAGCAAACGGCAAGCCTTCTATCTCATCAGGCTTTTGATCAGGATTCATGTTGCTACAAGGGCATTGTTGGAACCTGCCAAGCTTTTTTTACAGTCCAAGAAGATAATATTGGATCTTTTACAACTGTACCTTGAGAAAAAAAGTCCGAAGCCAGGTGGAGAGCCCTGGAATGGGAACATGACAGAAAACCAAGAAATGTAATTGCTGACGCAGATGATACAGAAAAGACCAAGAAGATGTTCTGAGAAGCAGTAGTTACTGCTTCCACAAAAAAACTGGGATCCCTCTTGCTGTGAATGAACAACAAAAGAAACAGCACCTTTATAAGTCTAAAGTAGTGCTTCTGTAAGATTACAGATTTCTGGCAGGTTAAGACCCGAATACTTCTGGTTCGTATAAACCCTATGGCACCTGTTTCCAGGAGACGGAGTGTTAGATTTCCTGTGTTAAATTGCTGCTAGGAGAATGACTTGACCTCTTTAAATCTGACTGCCCTAACAAGTTATACACGGGACCAGACGTTCACATCGATGCAAAATGTGGCAATCCACCAGCAGGGACTGGGAGAGGCATCCTTCAGCAAAGACTTTGAGCTTCTTCATCACTATTGGAAAATTCCAAGAAGACTCTGATGCATTGGGTTTAATTTTCCATTTCCTGGGATGAGGAAAGAAAAAATGTGCCACAGCCTACAGGACACTGCTACAAGGACAAGGTGCAACCAAGCTGCAGCACCACAGGGAAGGAAGATCATTACAGCAACGGCAAGGTGCTGCCCCTGAGGAAGCCCAGCCTTTGGACTTGCTCAGACAAGCACTTTTACCTGTGGACAACAGCTTTGGGGGTGGAAAAAAGTAAAAATTGAGAAATGTTCTAGTCCAGAATGGTGCTGTGATGCTTCACAGGAATGTCATTTGAGTGCTACCTGCTCTCGTGTCCCGATCCCAGATCACAGCTGCATCTGCCATGGTGAGGACAAGGAACAGTCATGGTTTTCAGCTTCCTTGAGACATCCATATACTGCTTTAAAAATCAAAATATTTGGGGTTCTGGATCATTCAAAATTTTCAAAGAAACACTTAGACTTCTTTAAAAGAAAAAAAAAAAAAAGAAAGAAAAAAAGGTTTTGTTGAGAACCATTTTTTCAAACTTCCTTTTTTCAAAAACCCTCTTATTTGTTGACTTTCCTTGTCAGCCACAAAGTGTGCTTTTGGTTTCCTGAGTTGAAAGGAGTTGGGATGATTCTAATGGGAGGAAATGCAAAGTTTCTGTAGGTCTTGATCTGCTAAAAACAAAACACTGGGCAAAGGATGTCCCTAGAAAATTGTGTTTGTCTCTTTCCATTTTGAAGATGAGCCAAGGAATGACCAAATCTCGTGGACCATGGTTATAAAGAAAATGGTTAAAAAGAAACTCCACCTGCAGTTTCTCAGTGGGCTGACTAATCTTTTCCTACCTTGATTGTTTGCACAGCCCTGCTGCACGTGATTAAACAGCCAGTAGTGACGCACTCACTGTGTTTTCCCTCAGAGGTAGCCACATCTCGTTCTGAACTTCTTTTTGCAAAATTCATTGTGTCCCTTTCTTTACCCGGCAGGATGCTTTGCAAAAGAAGGCTGCTGCTGCTGCTATGAAATTGGAGCTGCCTCTTCCTAGTGCCATGAACATAAATACCATCAACTGGTTATCTTTCCAAGATAGCTTCCTCTGAAGCAAGAGAGGAAAAAAAAAGAAAAAGGGAGACTTAGCATTACTTCATCTCAAAGCTAAGTGTAAATATATATTGCTGAATTACCAGTGTGGAGACTGACCATATGCAATCATCTTGCTAAAGTAGCCAAGGGAAAGCGTCACAAGCCCAGGCCAATCTTGGCATATGCACAGCCATAATTTTGTAACTATTTGCTGGCCAAAAAGCCAAGAAAAATCAACAGGATTTTCGCCATGAGTTTGCCAGACTTCATTCAAGTTTGGGGAGCAAATTCAGGAAGTATGTTGTAAAGGAAAAAAGGTGGAGGCTGAATCCAGATTCATCTGGCTCCACCTCAAGCAAAGGTTACCATCTGTCACTAAGCGTTGCCCTGGCCCAGCACCACCCAGAATTACCCAGTGTAAGGTGCTGCTGGAAGGACACCTAGAGCAGGACCAAACTCCTAGCAGGAACAGGTATGCAGCTATCCCGACACACAGAGATCACTGAACTACACGAGGTGAGAAATTCACCTCTTCCCCTTTCAAGCCAACACTCAAAGACTTGCCCATCGTCAGTTCCCAAAGGAGGCGTGTTCAGATTTCTTTCCTCCCCTGGCCCATTTTGCTGGAAGAAAGGTATGACTTAACTTGTTTGGACTGACCCATTAAATAAACATAAGCTGGATGTGGCCTGCTAGGAAAGGAGCATGCGTGTCTTCATGAAGGGAACTGACTTCTTGGTCTCCTGATGTTGTCAACAGGCAAGCCTCTTCCAGGCTTATTTATGCTGGAACAGGCTCGACATTTTTTTCAGCCCCAAAGGGATTACTTTAACAAAATTTGTGTTTACTCTGGATTTTTTTCCTTAACAGCTTGGTTAGAGGAAAGGAGAAAACGAGCCCTTGAGCTCCTACGTTTGGTCCCAAAGTTTGGGAATTACTCACCAAAAGGCAGGAAAGCTGCTATAAGCTGCAATGCAGCGGGGCAATGGAACAAGGGTTGGACCCCTATAAGCTATTAATTCAGGTATGAAACAAAAAATTTTTTAAAAAAGGAAAAAGCTAGTTTTCAGGATACATTTGATATTTTTAAGGGATCAGAGAACAGGAGAGGAAAGAGAGTGGGAGAAAAATGTTGCTTCATAATTCTGGTAATGGTCAGTGTGTGTTTCCAAGCCAGAAACTAAATTCAAGCAACATCTTTATCCACTCTGGAGTTTCTAGACTGCATCTCCATTCCAACAGCAGCACAGTAAGCTTACTAATTTTTCCCTACAATAAGCACATACTGGGTTTGTCTACTTTCCGACCTCCAACCCACGAGCCTTTACTAACAGACGTTTTGTTAAACCAGAAGTCTCAATGGCATTGTTTTCACATGCATGTACACGTGTGTGCAGGTGCAACACATATACACACGTAGATAGAAATTATCAAAATACTATTATAAAGCGAGTGTTCTTTCTCAACACCCCTCCTCTGCCCACCCCACCTCTTTCCCCTTCCCCAGGCCAGCGTATTTCAAAAAAAAAAAAAGAAAAAAAAAAAGATTGGAACTGAAAACTTTCAAGAGCCATCCAGCCCTTGTCAGCACTGCAAAGGTCTAAGGTGCTTTAACAAGTCCCCGGTCCACCTCTAGGACACGTGTTGACAAACGGCCTCCAGTTCACAATACTGATTCCTTGGATTCAGGGTCTGCTGTACTGGTTGCGTTGGAGACTTGGTTTTTGTGGGTTACCAGAGGCGATGTTTCCCCGTCAGACTTGCTGTTAGCAATTGCTTCTACATTGACTTCCTTTAGCTCCTGCTCTTTTTCTTTCTTTTCTTTTTCATTCAGGTAATTAAGGATGCCTGCTCCTAGGGCATCACCTTCCACATTCACAACTGTGGTGGTTCGGTCCCTGGTTAGGAAGAGAAACAAAAAAAAAAGCACAAAGCAGCAGGTTTTTAGCTTAAGAGAGTTACAACACAGTAAGGAGAACTGAGTCGCCCCTGCTGATCCACTAACATCAGTGGAGACAGACAAGGGAGATGTTGCTACCATAGCTATTTTCCACAGAAGTATCATCACCATTTCAGGACTAAAAATGTGCACCGGAGCTGGTTTAAGGTCAGCCCAAACGTCACTGTCAACTGGTTCTGCTCTCTCAGTGGGCTGCAACAATGGTACTACTCTTTCTCAGGCATCCTTCTTTCCCCAGCCCACCTCCTTCCTCCTTCCTTTCCCCAGGCCAGCATTTTTCAAATGCTAGTTCATAGCAAGAACCTAGTTTGGGCTTATTCAGAAGGTGAATCAGAGCACCCAGCTTTCTTTAACTAGAGAGACTCCTACCTTAACACAGCTACTTTAAGGAGTCTTTCCAAACATGGCAGAATGACCATGTTCTCTGAATTTCTTGCTAATTGCACCTTTCTTAATCTTTGGTCCTACAACACAAAACTACTGCATCCCAGGGTCTAACTTCTTTATGGGTCATAAAGAACAACTTCTTCACCTGCCTTTTGAGACTTCTGTTAGTCATTCTGCAGCTTAACTTCACCATGTGCTCAACTTGTATCTGTGGTTCTCTATGGTAATTAAACAGCTGGCATTACAACAAGACACAGGGCTCTTCCCTCCCTCCTTTCCCCTTTTGTTACCACAAAGCTGAGTTCCTTGACTAAAACAACAGTGTTGACCACAGAGGGATGCTACATGTTTTGAAATGAAGGCAGCCAGCATGCTATGGGCTTTTCACTCTTGCCTCCAGGCACTTGCAAGTAGAGTTTGTGGAAAGCACACAGCTACTACTGTAATCCTTGAGGAAGAGGGGATACAGGCCAGCTACTGCTTTGCCTGTCTCTCCTGTCCTTTGGAGGTGGATGATCCCCAAGAGGTGATAGCCAGAAAGAGTTTGATGGCCCTAATGAATATGATTGTGCTCCACAGACACATGTGATGTGGGAAAGGAAGGAGGGAATACAGCTGCCGCCTTCCGCAGCCTCTGGAATTCAAAAGTATCCTCAGGCATCCTAATTTCCACATTTGCTGTGCAAGTACACCATTTTATACAGAGAGGCTGGCGTTTCCAAAAAGCAATGCAGAGGCAAACCAGGAACTGCCCAGAAACTCACCAACTGGAAAAAAAAAAACTTAATGGGATTCAAATTGCTTGACCCATACTGAGCACTCACTTCAGCCTACTGCCCAACTTCAACCAGACAGCTTGAAAGCAGATTATGCTTTTAAATTATCAGATCATGCTTAGCTCTCTAGCATTTAAACTCCAAGCATGCTGCAATTCATAAGAAGTCCTTCCAGTCTGATTTTCTAGGCAGCCAGGCTTGTTTGAGGAAAGGAGGAGACACCCTTTTCCACAGGGCTCATCTAAGCTATAAGAAGCCACCTGCATGTGCATTTACACCTATCACGAACTTGTGGCTGGGTCCCCAATACTTAGAGCAAAACAAATTTTCTAGGCTTTCCTTAATCTAATTTAGGTGGTACAGAAGGTAAATTTAGGCCTTAACAAGGACATAACTACACTAAGTGGTGAGATAAGTTCTTCCAAACAGACCTGGGCAAGGAGATAATCTCTCATGTTTCAAGGAGGGGAATGGCTCTTGGAAAGAAGAGAAGGAGCTCAGTAAAGGTCTGAGCTCTTACCTCTTTCCCAGAAGATGGAAAGGGAAGGTGATAATACTGTGTACTCAAGTACTGACTCCCAGCAGCACGTTCCAGCTGTGACACTGCCCATAGCTGTGAGGAGGGCCACAAACCCTCTGTGTCCCTGCCCTGCCAATGGATGGCACTTCTCTGTGAGGTGCTTTGACCCGTCCTGAACTACAAAAATAGTTTAAACAATAGCTGACAACAGCTTCTGGTGGAGACTGCTTCCCACATGTGACCAAGAAAGCTTTCAGACTCAATTCCCTTTTCCCCTCCTTCCCCTCCTAGCCTCCAACTAGTTTCCAGCAATACCAAAACCTTCTGAACAAACTTTTAATAATCCTTGTAGAGTATTGAAACCAGGAAGAAACATGTTTGAATAGAGTCTGAGGAGGGATTTTAGCATATAACTGCTTTAATTGAGAAGGGACCACCTTTTCCATCATCTGTCAAGAGCTACCTGTCCTGTAGGCAGCCATTATCTTGTAGGTTTTCATTTTATACAGTGCTACTTTAACTCCCCTGTCCCCTGCTTCCAGCTGAACGTGCTAGATGTCATGCAACAGCAGATAACGTGTGGCCTAAAGTACTTACACAATCCAGTCCACCGCTAATATCAAGGAGAGATCGTTGGTCGGAAGTCCAATGGCCTCCAAGATGATAGCAATGGTGAGGACTCCTCCGGCGGGGATCCCGGCTGCACCCACGCTCGAGGCGGTGGCTGTCACGCTGCAAATCAATTTGTGGAGCTGGTCAGGGGGGAGCTCCACAGCACTCCTCTCCTACGCTCAACGTCACACATTTCCCTGCTCTGGGAACTGTAAACAAACCCTCTAGCATGGGACACGCAGATCGTTTGCTTCCCAAGCAAACCCTTTCCTGCCTGCTGATGCACAGTAATGGGTACAGAGCGCATTCGCTCAGCAGGCATCCTCACCAAGGCAATGGCTCTGTGTTTAATACCATGATTTCCTTTTCAGAAAACAAACAAAACAAACCCAAACCAACCAACACAACTATATCCCGCTGCCTTCTTGATACATCCATTTCCAAGTCATGTTACATTTCCTGTGCTGTCCCTTCTCTGTGTCTCGCTCGCGTTCAAACACAGAAACTAAATCGGGAGCTGGGATTGTTCAGCCTGGAGAAGAGAAGGCTCTGGGGAAACCTTATAGCAACCTTTCAATACCTGAAGGGGGCCTATAGAAGAGCTGGAGAAAGACTCTTTGCCAGGAAGTGAAGTGATAGGACAAGGGGAAATGGTTTTAAATTGGAAGAAAAAAGATTCAGATTAGATCTCAGGAAGAAATTTTTTACTATGAGGGTGGTGAGACACTGGAACAGGTTGCCCAGGGAAGTCGTGGATGCCCCATCCCTGGAAGTGTTCAAGACCAGACTGGATGGGGCCTTGAGCAACCTGCTCTAGTGGGAGGTGTCCCTGCCCATGGCAGGGGGGTTGGAACTCGATGATCTTTGAGGTCCCTTCCAACCCAAACCATTCTATGATTTTATGATTCTATGATTCTATGTGCTATAGGCAGGGATCACACACCTTTTTGTGTGTGATCCATGTATACAACAGAATTTTCCTTGGGCTATCCACTACGTGATCCTCAGGCCTGTGTTAACACCCGATTCACTAAGAGTACCTGAAAGACTAACTTGGCCATCAGCAAAGAAAATAATGTCCCAGCCCAGCCTTAAATAGACAAACAATATACTAGGAAATGCAATAAGGAAGGAAATAAAACCTGGCCAGGGAGGGTAAACAAATACCAGCCCTTGGAGGCATCTGGTGGATATAGCTATGGCTTCTTGGTACAGTGAGGGGCTAGAACTCCATGAAATCCTTCCTCACTTGAGGGATTTCATGGAAGGATATGAAGAGAATGACACTTCATGGGATACGGGAGGTGGGAGCATATTCCAGGCACAGAGGGGAGAGATTCCTGGAGAGAAGGAAGCAGAACTGAGGTGGTGGGGGGGTAATGGAGCAAAACAGTCAGGAGGAGAACGATAATGAGTCTGACCTGGGAAGCCAGCAATGCAACAGTTGGAAGGGCAGAGGTAAGCAGGAGCAGAGTCTTTAGGAACTGAGGAGCTGGCAGGGGGATTTTCTAAGACATGCAGAGGGGGAACCAGGGGTAGCTTTCTGGGTAAAGCAGCCCACCTCAATTACCCAGCTTAACGGTAAGTGGAGGGTGAGGGGGTGACATGCTTAAGGAAGGAGAGGAATTCCATGTGAGAAAGAGCTTTAAACAGCTCAAAGTCTGTTTCAGAATTCAATTACCTCTCCCAGGTTCCACCTTTTATTAAGTCGAGATTCTGGCAAATCTTACAAAGCTTGAAAGGCTCCATCCTTTAATCACCCTATAATTACGTTTCATAGCAGTTTGCAAGCTTTAGGTCAGACATGTGGAATGCACACTGCTAGCTATTAACAGAGAGACCACAGGCTTGAATGTGTCTGGGGGCCAGAAGGATGTGGTTGCAATAGCAAGCAACTTACAGGATTGTGAAGATTTGCCCAGCGTTGAGGTCAACGTTGTTCAGCTGAGCAATAAACACAGCTGCCATGCACTGAAAAATAGCAGCTCCATCCATGTTTACGGTCGCCCCGATCGGAAGGATGAACCTGCTGATCCTCTTGTCGACTCCATTGTTCTCCTCAATGCACTTGATCATCGACGGGAGAGTGGCTGAGCTACAAACAGAGAATAGGGGGGGGGAAAAAAAAAAATCAAACACAAAGCATCAGGGTGCACTGAACGGGAAGTCCGTGTCTCATGGCCTTTATGTTTCTAACGTCTGTCAAAACAACAATGCCATTTTATAGCCCCTCTACACCACGACAGCAATGAGGGACCCTCCTTGTCGGCGTTGAGCAGTGGTATTTAATAATCTGCTTCCATCCAGAAATACCTAAGGGCTCTCATCTCCCAGAAGAACTCGTGACTTCACACAGTATGCACTGCGTTCAGTCTCAAACCACAAAACCACACCAATAGATGCCAATATGAACACAATCGCTGCAACAGCAATCTCTGTTAATGTTGTACTAACACCTTCTTGAATGAACAGACTAATAATAAATAAAAATAGTAATAATAATGATTAAAAAAATCACTGTTGGATTTCTTTCTTGCACTATAAATTACATGGTTTTATTCATAAACCCCCTCCTACTTCAGGTACTTCAGCTCCTGGGACAGACACGCATCTAATTTTAGAGATGACCTGAAGTGATTTCATGTAGCTATGATACTTGATCAGGTGTTTGCCCCTTGAAAAAATTGTAAATTACATGCTTGATAATTAGGTTATGACAAACAAAAGCTGATCAGGTCAGATCTTTGAAATCAATAATGTTAAGTCCCTTTACGCTAGCTAATAAGTCTGTTCTCCTCCTGCAAAATTAGCCTAAGCTTGTTCCAGATCCTTCTGAAATTGGAAAATGGAACTTCTCAGGTCAAAGTCCCTCACTACTGACCCTCACTTTAGTTAAAAGCAAAAGGAGACGTAACAGGATCTTTTTAAAGGCAAATACTTTCACCTTTTCCCCCAAAAATTTCCATCTCAGCATCATGCTCCAGTCCCAATATTTTGAGGAATTGTTTTCAACAGCTAATTATCAGTACGTGCTGTGTGACAGGCTGCTGGCAGCAGTGAGACTCTCTACGCTTAGAAGTCTCTTTCTGCAATCTCAGGAACAACATTCACACCTAAAACTCAACACAGCTGGGACAGAACCAGTTTACAGTAACAAATATAAGCAGGCTGTAATGCCCAAAAAGAAGCACAGAAACCCACCTGGAGCAAGTGGCAAAAGCAGTGGCAAAGGGTGTGATAAGTCCTAAGAGAAAACGATATGGATTTTGACGCGTGGATGCAAAATAAATAAGTGGCAGAATGATTCCTCCATGGATGAAGTGGCCAAGAATAGAGGCGAAAATGTATTTTCCCAGGCTGGTCACCAGAAGCATAATATCTTCCATTTCCACAATCTTGCTCCCAACAAGGAACATAATGCCAATAGGTACATACCTGTGTAAAGAAACATTGTCTGTCATTAAATGCAAACAAAAAGCCTTGAAAAATAGGCACCTTTCCATCTTTTCTAAAGAACTTGCTGCTCCTACTGAAGGGTAGCACCTTACTCACCACACACTCAAGTGAAGCAAATATGGAAGGCCTAACACCCTCGCTTGGTGGAAAGCAAGCAGTCAAACTAAAAAAAGCTCTGTCCACCTATGCCCTCAAAGACACAGCTAGGAAAGTGCCAAAGGAAACCCAAGTGGGAAACAGAAACACTGGCAGAAGCTATCAGAAGAAGACACTGGTGTGGAGCTTTAGTCCATCAGGGCAGGCAAACCTAAAGCTAAAGTCACTGCTGAAGAGACAGCAAATGAAGGAAAGAAAAAGCAGCAATACAACACCAGAGCAGAGAATGGGGTTGAAAAATAGGATCTCACACATGGTTAGAGTTGGAAGGGACCTTAAAGATCAACAAGTTCCAGGCCCCCTGCCCTGGGCAGGGACACATCCCACCAGAACAGGTTGCTCAAAGCCCCCTCCAACCTGGCCTTGGACCCCTCCAGGGATGGGGCAGCCACAGCTTCTCTGGGCAACCTGGGCCAGGGTCTCACCACACTCACAGCCAAGAATTTCTTCCTGAGATCTCATCTAAATCTCCCCTCTTTCAGTTTAAAACCATTATCCTTCGTCCTATGCCTCCATTCTGTGATCAAGAGTCCCTCCCCAGCTTTCCTGGAGCCCCTTAAGGGACTGGAAGGGGCTCTAAGGTCTCCCTGAAGCCTTCTCTTCTCCAGGCTGAACAACTCCAACTCTCTGAGACTGTCTTCATAGGAGAGCTGTTCCATCCCTCTGCTCGTTTTTTGTGGCCCTCTGCTGGACCTGTTCCAATAGATCCATGTCCCTCCTGTGTTGAGGACTCCAAAGCTGGACGCAGTGCTCCAGGTGGGGTCTCACAAGAGTTGAGCAGAGGGGCAGAACCTTCCCCCTCACCCTGCTGGCCACGCTGCTGGGGATGCAGCCCAGGATGGGGTTGGTGTTCTGGGCTGCCAGCACGCATCACTGGCTCGTGTTGAGCTTCTCATCCACGAACACTCCCAAGTCCTTCTCCTCAGGGCTGCTCTCCAGCCGTTCTCTGCCCGACCTGTATTTGTGCCTGGGATTGCCACGTCTCAGGTGCAGGACCCAGCACTTGGCTCGGTTGAACTTCATGAGGGTCACTCGGGCCCACCTCTCCAGCCTGTCCAGGTGCCTCTGGATGGCATCCCTGTCCTCCAGCGTGTTGACCGCACCACACAGCTTGGTGCTGTCAGCAAACTTGTTGAGGGTGCACTCAATCCCACTGTCCGTGTCTCCAACAAAGATGTTAAACAGCAGTGGATAAACATGTAGTGATGATCATCAGCACACGATGTTAGGTCATTAACATGGTAGACACACTGGGTACCAACATATTCAGTGTAGGAATGAAAAAGCTATGCCCGTTCCAGAAGCCTCAGCTAAAGGCTACTGATGCACGTGCCAAAGATAGCAATTAACTCTACTATTTGCCTACGAAAGACTAAGTTTAATTATTAGGCTTCCAGAGCTTCCCTCAAGCCACCAACAGCCACGTATACATACATTCCCGATGCCTCCTATCTAGAAACGTGCCACGTCGTCTGAGGTGAGGACGTCAGCATTTGTTTGAGGTTTCCTTCGTCAGGAACACTTGGAGAGGCTCCAGGGGAAGGGCCACCTGCAGGCCACAGCCACACCTCTGGTCCCAGTAGTGCAGCTGGGAACAGCCCTGAAAAGACAGAATTGCCCTTGCACCTACAGCACAACAGGTACTAAACAAACTGCAGGCATCACTTCAGGCCCAGGAGCAGTTCCTCCAAAGCTCTACTTGGGATGTCTGTTTCCGAACACCTCTGCTGTCCACGCTCTATCCATTTCTGCTTCTAAGATGAAGAAATACTAGAAGATCACTCAGTTCTCCAAAACCCTGCCTACAGTTTTTTGTGACTACAAAAGATCTGCCTGTATGTGTCAGGAATAAAGAATGGTTTTTCTCCCCCGCTGTACCCTCCAACCCAATGCCCATGTTCAGGGAAGCTGATCTGTGGAGTCAGGAGGACAAACTTCAGAAGGTTTGGTTAAGCATACAAAGGTTTTGGAAAGGTGGGCAAGCCTTAAGGTTGCTCAGATCACTCAGCTTCTTCCTCATCTGCCTCTCCCTCAGAGGTTCTGCAGCTCCTCTGTTCTGTGCAGAGAGCACCTCCTTATGTCCCAGATCAACGGGAGCATCCTCTCTTTGTCCTCCCTTGGCCAAATCACTTGGGGGGGCCTGTTGAACCTACCCCACTTGACACACTGCCTTTGAGCTGTGCTTCTGAGCACCTCGATTAGCCAGATGGAGCTGAGCCCCAGCCCAGCACAAGTTCCGCAAACACAGATGCTGGATTCAGGGAACTGAAAGTTGAGACCAAAGTGCTGCTAAACACGAAGGTCGCTATTGAACGGGACTAGACATGAGCTCAAGCCACCTTTTCTGTTGGTAGTCTGATTTCACCCATTCCGAAGTATCCTTTGGGAAGAACATGCAGCTTGACAGAATTTTAATAAATACCAGGATGACACAAGAGCCTTAAGGAAGGAAAGAGAACAAGGGCTACAGTGCACTGCAGTGTTAAGAGGCAGCTGCGGTCCCAATAATCCACCGAGTAAAGGATTATACACCAACTGATTGGCTTGAAGTGTTAGCACTGTAATCAGCTGAATACAAGAAGTGCCTCTTATCAGTATTCAGTGTCCAAGGAATTACACTCAAGAGTAAAAGACTTAAGCTGCTTTGAGACTTTGAATTTTTCAATCCCTTATGACAGCAACTAACAGAGATCTGCCTGTGTGAAATCAGGTGTTTTGTTAAAACCTTTCTACTTCTTAGAGCGAGGAAAATAATAGGACTGAAAAAAGTGCAGAATGAAGGGAGAAAAAACACCTCTGCTCTAGCAAGCTTATAGCTTCTCCAACAGCTTTGGAGAGAGAGTGAGAAATATCCCACTGGTAATTTGTATAGCCAGCTGTCCTTATGAATATTTTTATTTTTGTGTGTGAGGTATAAGTACTGTTGGTTTCACGGGAGCAGCCCAGACCTACCCAGCGGGGCACAAGACCAGCCACGACGCAGCTCTGAGGCCCAAGTTCATCCTTCCTCACAGAAAACCCAGTCAGGAGGCTGGTCCTACACCAGTTTAGGTGGCCTGAACTGCTCTCTAGAGGTGCCTGCCTCCTCCAGAGCTGGTTTCTTGCCTACTGAGAAAGTTCGGTGCACTCCAGTTCTGAGCATACAGGCTTTTTTTGGTGGGAAAAGCTTTGTGGGATTGGTTGGAGCAACATACATTCCACAAACATGTTTGGACTCCAGGGAAGTAAGTGAAATAATGTATTTTCTCATCAATAGCTAGAAGACCAAAGCAAAAATTAACCTTAGGAAATACCTACTCTTGGAGAAGAAAAGCAACTCTGGAAAAGCAAGCACCAACAAGAAAGAGTCCATCACTCTGATAGTAACATCAGTTCCTGCTTCACCCAAGAAAAGGAAAGGGATCTTAGAAGAGGATCTTGTTCAGCCTGGAGAAGAGAAGGCTCTGGAGAGACCTTATAGCAGCCCTCTAGTACCTAAAAGGGGACAGAGGAGAGATGGGGAGGGACTCCTTATCAGGGAGTGTAGCAACAGGATGAGGGGAACGCTTATAAAGTGAAAGAGGGGAGATTTAGATGAGATCTCAGGAAGAAATTCTTTGGTGTGAGGGTGGTGAGAGCCTGGCCCAGGTTGCCCAGAGAAGCTGTGGCTGCCCCATCCCTGGAGGGGTTCAAGGCCAGGCTGGATGGGGCTTGGAGCAACCTGGTCTGGTGGGAGGTGTCCCTGCCCAGGGCAGGGGGTTGGAACACGATGATCTTTAAAGTCCCTTCCAACTCTAACCAATCTATGATTCTATGATATGATAGCAGGTAGCCATGGGTTATGCTGCTTTGAAATAGAAAGCCTTCTTTCCACTAATTAATCAAAAAGGAGTCCTGGAGAGAGGATTTTTAAGCAACCCTCTGAAGTAGGTGACTGTCTAATTACAGGCCACAAGGAAGAAGAGACCCCATCGCGTGATGCTATGATATTCACTTTTGCTATGATGAGGGATCTGGTAGGAAAAAAGCTGGAGAGATGGATGAATGGTGAGATTCTTGAACATAATATTGTACTGCAGCCATATCTGCCACCACACACACTTACCACATAATCCAGGAAACCAAGACCATAGTTGCCTCATTGAATGAATTAAAAAATCGAATCAGATCTTCCCCTTCCTGGCCAAGCTTCTTCAGCGCCACTCCTAAAACCAGAGCAAAGAGCACCAGTCCCAGGATATTCATCCCTTCTATCTCAGTACCAACAGGGATCTGTAGAGGCAAACAAAGAAGGCTTGTTAGATACCAAGACCGACATAAAGCCCAGCAAAACAGTCGCCTCTGTTTGTTGCTGCCCGATCGATCTGAAATCAACAAGCAGAACCCTGTTTTGGGAAGGAAGAACCTATTTTGCTGAAGGAAACCAAACACCACCTGGATGCAGTCCAGGTACAAACCTCCCTAGTTATGAGCTGACATAGATTCACTGGAGAAGGAAAGGGCCCGCCACTGTCTCCCCATGTGCCGTTCAACGATACGTGTGTCCTGAGTGACCTGAACAGGGAAACCTCCCCAGTTTACTCAGGACAAGCTCCACTGCAGATGGGAAAAGTGGTTATGTAAAACCACCATGGTTAAAGTAAGAGGATAAAGCCAGGATCCACCTATTGACAAAAACCAGTCTGCCCTGCTGGTTCTTCACAGTTTGTTTCCCAAAGAGAGCTGGAGCTTGTTTGGCAATATAGTGTCATACGAACTGAATGAGTGTCCTTGTGGCTACATAAAAATATAATTGTTTTGACAAACTGTTTTTTTTTCCCCCCCCAACTTGGCAATACAAGCTCAATATGTCAATTTGTTGTTTTATTTGGAAGAGCTTCTAAAACAGATCAGGTTTGCGTACAATTTTTGGCCTTCTGTCTAGTTTAAGCAGACACTAGTTCAACACTAGGAAAGAAAAATATATTCTGAGCTAAAAGGTTGAAACGAATATTGACTAAAGGACTTGGGAGACTGATCTGCTAAATCTGATAAAACCAGCCTGCCTGAGATGATATTTTTGCTGGAATTACACTGATGAACCAGACTTTCTCTCATTGGCAAAGCACTACAGGGAAGGGGATACAATAAATTGTATGCAAAAGCCTGAAGGCTAAACTGCTGTTAACAAAAGTGTTTACAAACGACCAAGTCCCAATTTTAATTTGCTAGCTACAAAATAATTAGATATAGGACCTGCAATTTTTTTGTGGTAGCTGCTTGTTCAGGGCTAAGTTGTCAGTATTTATATGACTGCCATTTGAAAGATTTGAAATTAAGTTAATGGGGCCCAGTGTATCTCCAGAGTGTCTGAAGAATTGTGCTGTTCTCTCCACACACAGTAACACTTTTCAGGCTGAAGAGCTTTGGCTATATTCTGTTTTATGTGCCTGAAAGCCCCTAAACTCTCCTGTGGTTAGAAAAGTTAGATAAAAAAGCATGACACCCTCCTATTAATTGAAAGTTTAAACTCTCTGCATACATGGCATGCACACACTGTTCTATTTTTCACTTCAACTGATAAAATGTAACTCTATAGTAGGAAGTAAGGTTTACCATAAGGCTGAAGAGAATGTAACAAAATTTCAGTGACAATTTATCAGTAACAATGTACAAATCGATGTAAGAGTCTCAAATTTAACTACTAATTTATTAGCCGAAAGAAAGTAAATTTTAAGTAAAATAATGCCGCCACGTCGTTTCATCAAAACCAAAGCTTTCTCTGGGATATGTCAACTTGAGCAAAATGTGAACATTTTTACACCAGAAAAGAAACACTTCATCCATATGGAATGAATGCAACGTTTTTTCATTTTGACACAGCTTTTCACTTTGTTGGATTTTTTTATCCAACTCATTATTTCACAATACAACATCTTATATAAGGTTCATTTGATACACGGCTAATATAAAAAGTTCAGCTTGGAACAAAATTTTACCATAATGGGCCCACACTTTTTTCCACAAAAAAGCCCCTCAAAACAGTCAATGCTCTTTTGTTCTGGTTCTCATTCAGAAAAAAAAAAAAATAGATACCAAACTTTGCTATGGAACAGAAATTCAGTGTTTCAAGCTGCTGAAAGCGCCCAGCATCCTGACCTAGATGGGAGGGAATTTTATTATACTACTTTACACCGATGTTTTGCAAAGCATCTCTGCTCTTTAAACTCCTTCTATGAGAGAGTCGCTTCTCAACCCACTAAATGCAGTGGTGTGAGCCTGAAGCCAAGCAACCCCTACCTTTTGGGCTTCTCAAAGTTCTAGTCTCAGGAACGGGGTGAAAGTCTACTGAATCTGCAAGAGGACTGCTCAGCTTCCTGCCAGCTGTGTAGGGTACACAGGGTGACAGAGCAGGACAGAGCTCAGAAGGCATACAGGAGAACCAGGGCCAGAGCTCCTAGTGCTTCATTTGGAAGGCTGCTTCCCTGACTAGAGAAGTCCAAGGCTCTTCTAGGTCACTCAGTCCCCACAAGCATCAGCTGCTCCACCTTCTTCAGAGACATGGGTGCTGAAGGCTTGCCAAATTTTGTTCTTGGGAAGCTAGAGGAGGGCAACAGCATCTCCAGTTACCTACAGCCAGGACACAGGCTTCTTACCTTTCATCTTAACATTCCCAGCAGCCTGCCATGTATTAATTGGCCAATTGTCTTTGAACTCCTCTATATCTCTTCAGGACAACAAGACGTGGAGTTTAGTCTTCTTTTACCCTTGGAGATGTCTCTCTCCAAGGTAATCTTGTCTCTCTACCTTGCTCCCAGTGTTGTGATCACTGCTGCTGATCTCCAGGTGCTCACACTAACTAGTACTTCAAGCATAGCTCTTGTGATCCGGGGACCCCTGAACACTTGGGTGATTAGTAGGAGGACTCTGTGCACAACCACCAAAAGCTTCTTAGCTGTTTTCTTCTATTCGCTGTCATCTTGCCACCCCTTTCAGGTCTCAGTCTCCCTTTGCTCCCTCTTGAGTCAATTTCTTTACAACACTCACCACGTAGGCAGAAGATGTACCATTTGCACAGAGTAGCAACTTACTGCAAGAAATAAAGGAGCATTCAAGGAATTTCACCTCCTTGCAGGACAATATGGGAAGAGTCCAGCAGCAAATCCTCAACAGAAGATCCTCACAGTCCCAGCCTCTAAAACTGGCAGATGCTGAACGGCCGTTTTGTACTCTAACAGAAGAGTTCATCACCCCAAAGGAGCTGCCAAACCAAGCAGCATTGTGGACACCAAACAAAAACAGCTTTAATGAGAGCTTTGTTCCTGGATAAGCTATGGGACATGTTATTCTTTGCTTGAAATGCTGTGTTCTGGTAGGAAGATTCAGGGAGCTCTTCTGGTCCTTAAATCTCTCTGAAGATCCTATTGTTTTGTAGCTCTTGAAAGAAAATGCTTATATCAAGGAAACAACTGCCGACGTTAATCTGTCCCAGTAGTAGGTGGCTGAAAAGAAAATGCAGCCCTGTGATGTGAGGAAGAAGAGCAATCACCAGGTTTGTATATTTTTACTGCTGCCACCAGAGGAACTCAGAGTCCTCCACAGCCTCCCTGTGCTGTGGGGAGACAGGAACTGATGAGGAACCGAGATAGTCTGCGCCCCAGGAAGCCTTGCTGCCAAAAAGCCAGAGAGGATGTGGCCATAAAAGCTAGGTAAACACGAGGGGAGCATGTGAAACAACAAAAAAAAGACATGGCTGAGCAGATATCTACGTGTCCCACTATTCATATCGGCAGCAAGAGAAGACAGGGCCCATGAACCACTGGGGGGGGTGGTGGTGGATGGGGGAATCAATGGAAAATTTTGCTCGACACTATTTATATGGAAAGTAGAAGGAAAACATTTCTCATCTTCAATCAAACATTCTGCTGATGAAAGAAAACGTTAGATGGGAATATCATCTTGTTTCCCTGGAACCACACTTCTAGCGCCGGTATTTATACCGTGGATTATCCAAAAATCATACTCTTCCTTTCCAAACTTAATCCTCATCTATCCATAAATAATATGGTCAGAAGAGTACTGAAACTGAGCTAACGCTTTCTTTTTATTTGGTCCACTCTTCCTTCGAGACAGTAGGGCATCTTACGCAATCAAAGAAACTCAGCTCTGGTTTTGCTCCAATAACTGAAAAGTTTTGGAAAAGTAATAGTAGAAATAACCTTTACATCATAACCGCTGGCAAAAACAGGCGCCGGTGACAAATTCAGAATATTTTTACTGATATTGCATCAGACAGGAGTCTGATAAGTGGGAAAAGGAAAGAAGAAAACTGTTAAAAGAATCTCATGTTTTAAATTGCCAAAAGATGCATTCTTTATCTTTTGAGGAAGGGTGATGGCTTTGAACAAGCATTAAAAAAAAAACATTCCTTGACAGCCAAGCTCATGTCCAATGGATATGGTTGGCCTTGATCCATGCTTGGGTGCCAAGGAATCCCTATCGAACTTGACACTGAAAAGGAATAAGAAAAGTCTTACTCGGCTTTCATTTACCTCTGATTAAATGAAGAGTAAGAAACACATGTGCAAGCACACATTGTTACAGAAAATGCTTTTTCTGGGATCATTGCCACCCATCCGTGCCTGGGCAACCAGGGGCCACCTTCTGCCCCAGGGATGAAGCTCACCATCTGAGAGCAGGCTTCTAGGACTTTCAAGGGCTGACTTTTCCCCTGCTGAGTTCTTGTGCCATCCCAGTCACCTGTCACCCTCCGGGGCTGGTGAAAGTCCAGGCTTTCAGCCCAAAGCAGAGTTGGGAAACACAGCGTTCTGCGTCGCTGGCTCACGCGCCACGCGTGGCGAGGAGAAGGTAATGAGGCCGGTACTTCCTGCGCCCGGGGACACGCTTCAGAGTCCCTCTGGATGAGCATAAACTGCTTCTTCCTCGATGGTTTTACCAACTGGCAGGCAAGCCCCAGCTGAGCCCTTCCACGGCAAACACAAACATTACAAGTCCCTTGCCCCAGGGACATTCAAATCGTATTAAAAAGAGAGTAACTCAACAACCAACACTGATCTCAGATAGTCAGAATGAGCCTGAGAAATAGAAAATAACCCTGAAAGTCACTTCCAGTCTCAGACCTGTCTCCCCAAAAGGCCATGCTGCCTGTAAGACAATGGTAATTATTGCTAGAACTGCAATATGTGGGCTCTGGCCAACAACAAAGGTGTTTGATAACCCCGTGCTGCAGGAGAGATGCAGCACCAAATGGGCTAGAGAGCATCTCAGGAAGTCCAGTAAGGTACATAAAATAACACACTACCTCAGCCACACGTGCAAATTATTTTCCTTTTTGACACCACTGCAATAGCAGCTTATTTGTAATGTTCTGTCTATAATTTTACCCCTTCAGACCACTTGTTACTGCTTTAAACAAAATTTCAGCAACCTGGCAACAAGAAAAAATTCTCAACTAACCTCTTTTTTGTTTTGTTTTTTTTTTTTAAAAGAGCCTTGGGGGTAGCATAAAAACGCTCATTTTCTCCGAACTGTTAATGATGAGTAATGTTTAAGGGGCATATTCAGCCAGCCTGATTGCTATTTAATTCCAAGTCTACAGAAAGTTGTTTGGAAACATTAGGCAGAGTGACTAATCAAAATTTAGACCAAGTGAGACCAGGTCTAAGAAAGCATGGCCTAAAAATAAGGTCTTAAGGGTCAGATCAGTTGAGACCAACTCCCTTAACCATTGTAGATTTCCTGGCTGTGGGTCACTCATCTGCTTTGCGTGTGTCTCAGTTCCAGGTGAAGTACTTGTTTCTTTCCAATGATTGTTGGGAAGGATTAAGGACTGGGAAGGAAACAAATCTTACAGCTGACGAGCTTGTATGAAAACCTAAGAAGTGACCTTACCTTTTCCCATGTGACATTTCCAGAGGTAGTGTTTCTGAGTATCATCTTGTATTCTGTTGCGTACTGCAGGTAAGAAAGAAACCCAAATAAATAAAACCACAGCGTTTGCCAATCAGATCATCAACATGACCATATCATCTAGCGTTTCACAGGGAGGAGGATCCCTGTTTTCTGGAGACCGTACCGTGCAGGCTAACAAGCCTGTCCCGTGGAAGAAAAGGGAGTGACAGCACACGTGGCTCCTTCCCCATGTGGCTACAGAGAAGTGCTCTGTGACCCCCTGAGCTTCCAGGTTTGGGCAGCAGCTGAGGAATTCCCCTTCCCTCCCCGCTGCTGTTGCTCACACACCACGCTGCTGCGCTGGCTCCTGCAGAAGCCAAGTGCTGCTGCACTGTAAGAAGTGGTGAGGCAGGCATTAAAATTGTCAGTAAGACACCTAAAATCTAGGGCAACAGTTTACTTTGATTAATAAGCCAGACACTTTGCAAAAGCAGGGCACTTCTTTGGGCTTGTTTTCTTTAGATATCAAATAGGGGAAAGAAAAGCTGATGTACTTGCCAATTACCCGTGACAACAGTTGCACAGAAGAAAGGAGGACTTCATTATTTCATCCCTGAACATACAAAACCCTGACACACGAGGTATCACAGAATATCTTTTTCCTAATTATATTTTTGTACTGCTCCTATTTTTATTTATGGCATACTGACTTGTACTCTTGTACTTGTACACTCAAAGCTCCAAATTCCCCAGCTGGCTCCTGAAAAGTGAAAAGCATCCTGGCACAAAGAAGACCTGCCATTGCTGCCCAACTCGGCACCCAAAGTATAAAAGTTTAAAGAATATTTTTGATGGAGTTACAAAGCATAGGCTCTGAATATGCTTTTGTTTGAGGAGTGTTTTTCAAAATCAAACCATTCGTCAAGGAAGTTGTATGTCTGATTATGTCAGGTGCTTTTAAGAAAACCCAGCCTACTATAAGTAAATTCACTTTTGGTATTTTCTATGCCATCTTTCTAGTCCTCTTTCAGAAAAACAAAAAAGAGCAGTCACTTTGTCTGTCTGTGCACTGTGCTCATGTCCAAAGTCCACGCACATCTTACCGTTCGGAAAGCCGCAGCAACAAGATTTGCAGGAAACAGGTTTCTGTAAAATACAAACAAGAAAATGAAATATTTCTTGTAGAACTTCTAAAACACCAAGGTGCTTTACTCTCAGAAACTCAATTCCTTTTGCAAAGGCATTAGTGAGATACGTATCACAGAAGATACTCTGGCAGCACAGAGCAAGATGTCTTGCCACATCTCCAGAGGTGTGAATGCCATCTTCTTTGGCTCACGTGAAAAGGTCCCTGCTCCTCTGCCACACCTAACCATTTGGGTAGGGACACCAGAGGCAATCAGACAGATGCTAATTATACACACCCATCAGCCAGTGGCTACAGAAACTGGCTTAGCCACACCAGCTGCAGCAACCACTTATGGCCTCCAGGGTCGGGCAGTTTTTTTAACGTTACTCATGTGATTACACTTTGCTCAAGCACAGCATCAATGTGAAGGACAATCCCATCAGCAAAATCCACTTAAGAGAAGGGCTTAATCCTTCGACACAACAAGGTCAGCTTCCCTGAGCACCGAGTTAAAGCAGAACAAAGTCACAGGCCAGAGCTGTCTGCAAGGGCTTAAGCCCAGATGAAAGCAGAGGCAACTCATATGGAAAGTTGCAACATCGTGAGTTCGGTGGTGCCTTCGTACAGAAATGCAAATCAAGCCTCAGTTTTGCCCAGAGAGGATGGCATGCAGTGACATACACTGCTACTGGGCATCCAGTATATACGTGCATCTATGAAAAAACAAGGAGAGGAAAAATGGTTAACTGGACAAATTAAGGAAAACGCTGCTTCTTGGTGTATTTCATAGTTGTTGTTAACACTGTGCTTCCTTTCTCCCCCTTACAGTGGGCAAAGAGCAGGCGTTCCCCATGCCAAACGTCAGCTGCTGCTTCTGTGCCAGAAAGCACAACAGGAATAAAAGCTGAGCTCTGGGGTGATGGCAGGACCCTAGCTGGCCAGGGCAGGAAGGTGAGGGGTATGAACTGAAAATACTGCCAGCTGAATGCAACAAGGAGGTACGAGAACTCTTATGGTAAGGAAAAAACAAACAAACAAAAGAAACCACCCCAAAAAACTCCAAAGCAAGCTGTGGCAAAAAACATTTGGATAGTGGCCCCCCCATCCTTTGCTCCCTGTGCTGCTCCAAGGAAGCCTCAGGGACCTACAAGGCTGTGTCCTCCTAACCTCCCCCCAGCTTTTGGCACGGCTGCCCCGGCAAACACGATTTTAAACCAGGTTTCTGGCTGGGATCATTCCACAGGTGACATGGAAAGCACAAACCTGAACCGCAGCTAGAAACGCAGCAGCGGAGTCAGAATCTTTGAAAGCAAGAGGGAGAGTAAGATACAGCACAGATAAGGGCTTGGGGCTTTTTCCATTGCACAGCTCCCTTATCCCGCCGCACAGCGAGGGTTTTCCCACAGCCTTGACACAGCCATGGACCCACATGGACCTTCACCAAACCAGGGGCTGCTGTGAACTACCTCAGCCTCTCTGTTACATTACAAGTGTATTACGAGGCAGTTGCAAAAGCCAAACTGCTGTAAGAATAATTTGGCTTCTGGAGTCTACGTTCCACTGGGCGTGAAAGAAACAGCAGCTTTTTCCTCCCCAAAATTTGACAACACAGCTGTCTTGTCTGAAAAGAGGAGAGCCACCTCTAACTCTGCAAAGGTGCTTAGGAATTGGTCAGATAAGATCAATGGAACAGCCAACGTGGATCAATTCTTGGACAGTTGGAACTCTCCGGTGGATAAAAACTTCATGTAAAGTAAAAGCGAACTTATTAAACATCCCATGTAAAAATAGGCCCAGCTCAGTGCACGGTTTTAAGCAAAAAAAAAAAAAAAGAAAACATGCTATTGAGAAAATAAGGATATTTCTTTTCAGCTTTTCATAACAGGGTGATTACTTTTTAAAAGAATTAACTGGATTTTAAAGATGCAAAGAGATGCAAAAAGACTGAAAACCAAACAGAAATCATATTACTTTTTTTTTTAAAATCAGCTTTTCCATTCTGACAAAACAAAGCCAAAAGAAGCAATCCTAAAGCCTAAACAATATGGTTCTCCAAGGTTTAAATGTTTAAATGTGGCCAAGAACCCAAGCCCTCCATAATTTACACGGTACGTCAGCCATGGACCTCAGTAATTAAACACTAAGTTGACTCCAAGCATATACTTAAAAGCACATACTTGAGTAATGCCAGCAGCCCTGCTACAGCAAGGGGCAGGTTCTCCCTTCCAAGTGTAAACAGCACTAAAGCTATTAAAACACAAGCATATAGCAGTCATTCTTTATTCCTGAAGCACCGGTCACAGGACTCTGAGGACAGCAAAGAGCATTTTTGACAATCTAGCAAGTAAAAAAAAATGGATCTTTATTCAGCAACTCAAAAGGAGCTAAGTACACCCGACTGCAAAGTCTCAGCGACATGTAAAATAATGTTTTGCTCCTCTTTGTTTCGAACCTTGAAGTTCAACAGCAAAACGTGTCAGGTCACAACAAGCAACTAACAATAAATGGCTTATCTTAGAGGCACGAGTTCTGCACAGGCTACAGCCTAAGACTACGAATTAAATTAAGGTTTAATTAGGGGTGGGTCAGACCGCAGCTTTTTAGCTTAAGATGGATTTGGGCAAGAACCCCACAGCAGCTCCTGAAAAAAAAAAACCAAAACAAACCAAAACAAGGTTGGGATGCTGTGAGCTTCAGGGCGATGCAAAAGCGGGCTGGTGACCTGCCCGGGCTCATCATGTGCTTGTGCCTGCAGGCTCTGCTCACCATGCCCAGCGAGGCAAAGTTCACCCACCACAAAAATCCAGCCCCAGCCCCATCCCTCTGCTCACCCTGTCCCCTGGTCCAAGCGGAGGAGTCGCACTGGAAAGGGCAGACATGCCTTCTCCCCTGTCCGAGTGAACCAGCAAACAGGAAAGCTGACGAGCTGGGTAATTGGGCGTGCAAATTAAACGTGGGTATCCGCCAGTTGGTTGCTCCACGCGGACCAAATCTTGAGAAGGGTTTTTTTTTTAGCTTTGAAAGCCCATACCAGATGTGAATGTGGAGTTTAAAGAAATCACCACAGTTCTATCACCGGATTGCTGACTGCTGCTGCTGTTTCTAATGTCCCCATCCCTGCCACTGCTGTGCCCCATGCTAGAGAACACGTCCTTTTTGTAGTCCTTTTTGAAGCAGACACAGGCTATCACAAGAGCACACTGCTGAGGAAACCCTGAGTCTGGGTGATAAGGGGTCTGGGATCAGGCAGCCTCGGCCCCATGATGCAGAAAGATGAAACTGGGTGTACGTGGCAAGAATGAGACGAGGCAGTGACGTGTGACATTAGGGCAGGGGGACAGCCACGTACCCCGAGAGCTCTGCCTGCTGCAAGTTTTTTTTTCTGGACAGCCCAGAAAAAAATAAATCAGAAATCCACTGGACAGGTGTCATAGTTGACACAGGTGACCTAAGTGACTGCTGTGTCCTGGGGCCGGAGCAGCAGCTGGGCCGAGCCAGGAAACCTCTAGGAACCTGCACAACACACAACGAGAGAAAGCACCCATCTCAGATCCTCCTAAAATAGGAACCAGAAAGCAGCAGCACCAGGGGAGGGAGTTTCGGGGTCTGAATACCGTGCTCATTACACCATCTCCCCATGCACAGCCAGAGAAACACAGCTTTTTCCTTTTCTCCAGCAAAAAGCTGCTCCCACAAGACAAGAAGGGACCATTACTCCCCTAACCAAATTTAGCAGGAAGGTCTCACTGTATTTTTGCTGTCACAGAAGTCTTAATTCAGCTGCAGCACCACTAGGAATCCTAGATGACTAAGGGAACCTGGAGCTCTAAAGGGAGAAAAAAAGGGCTGTGGCTCCCACTATTCTCAATTTTGATATTACAGGTAAATTCCTCTCTTCCTTACCCTGTTTCTTTCCACCAGCAGGATAAGGATGGCACAGGAACTCCTTCATTGCATGTGTAAGGGATTATTATTAATAACTGTTTCTGAACTATTCTTTTGCTAGAGCTCTGCAAACAGCTTTGCTCTGGCAGAAAAAGCATGAAGGGAAATCCAGGCAAGCAGAATGAAACCCTAAAATACTACACATTCCTCTTGCATTGCTTCTTACAAAAAGGTTCCACTTCTGAGGCCAAAAACCTCGCTGTTGGAAAACATATTTTTGTGAGGAAGCCTAGAAAAAAAATACTCTGTTGCGTTATCTCCTGTTTGGGTTTTTCGTTTGTTGTTCTTTTTTTTTTCCAATGATTGGAGTCCACTGATGGCAACTTTATTGCCACCTGTGGCAACCTGCCAGACCCCGGTTTGGATTGCTCCAGTACCTTTTGTTTTCCTTTCTGTCCCAAGATTTTCATTCAATATCAGACAGCAATTTTTTCTCATCTGCTGTTTGATATGTATGTGGATGCACAACGCACACCCTGAGTGCTTTAACACAGAGAAACTTGAAAATGTGTTTACTTACAGCAGATATTTGTTAGTTTTTTGCCTTGACAGTTCAGTCTGCATCTTTGTTGCTTGGAAAATAAAATGTGACTGGGAGGAGTCAGTAGTAAAAGGTAATGAGTATAAAGAACAAAAGAAAGGAGCAGAAGCGCTGAGATGCTTCCTAAAAAAGCTCCACCAGACAGTGCAGGCGCATGAATGAAAACGTTGAATTCTTCCTACAATCAGGCAGCAATCCTTATACTTCATGAGAGGATCCAGGCTCAGAAACCACCACAAGCAAAGGTGGACAGTAACATCTGCTACTTTCCTTTTCCTGAGGGTACCCCCGAGTTAAGAGCTAGCCATCCAGCTCCGAAACCCAGCCTACCTCAGGGACCCACCGCTGGTGTCACCGCAGCTCTTCCCTGGCTACTTCTTACTCTATTCATCACTACAAAGGTAGCGTCTCCCTCTCCTCTCCTAACAGTCGAGTTTTGCTCTCTTTCCACCTTGGGACTTCAGAGACAGCTTTCGTGGTTGCTGCTTTTTCTCCCCTCTGGCTCCGAAGGCGCCGGGAGCCAAGGCA